AGACAGAGGAATGCATGCACCTGGTTTCCACATAGTACTAACCCAGGGACAGAAAACACACACATACACAGAGAAAATATTTGCTTAGTGCCCATGGTGATATTTGCAGCCCCAAAGGACCCCAGAAACCAACACACATCCATGTATGGGTCAAAAAGTTTGCTCCCAAAATGGCCAGTAGTACCATCTGAGCCTCTGTTGAACATGCTGAAAGTCATGTCAATGCTTTCAAAGGGTGCTCCCCCTTTTTAGGCTCCAAAATGGCAAATAGCACTCACAAAGGTTTGATGAGGTGTTATTGAGAATTTCACTCTGGGTGGAGGGATGCCCAACTTTTCTAGATTTAAATTGGACTTTTTTTCCAAACCAGAAGTGATGGACTACTCACCTTCTGTTTGGTCAAAGGCTCTGTGCAGGACAAGAACAGATGGCAGGGATTTTAATAAAGTTCCCAAATGAAATAAAATTGTCAATATTGCCCCTCATAGACTGTGGGAAACTTCTGCTGGCCGTTTGGAGAAAAAAAATGTTTTTAGACTCACAAATTGGGTGGGGAGGGGTTGAGGTGAGAGAAAGGCGTATTGGTTTAACTGTGTAGCTAGTGAGCACATCTGGGTTAAAAAAAATCCAAGAGATCAGTTTTCATGGGATTATAGTGGATGTGCATAGAGGAGTTACTCCGTTCCACCCAACCACTGATCCTGATAAAAAACCGTAGGACAATATGACAATTAGGTTCTAGAAAACAGCTTCTGTTAGGGCACCCCAGAACCCATCTCAAGGAGAATTGTGATGTATGTGTGTTAGGGGAGGGAACAATTTTAATCTCAATTACAGCTGGGGGAAGGAATGGCTACAGTCGCCTCCCTTGCATGCTGCAGCCCTGATAAAAATGGAGAGGGATAACTGCTACTTGCTGTTGTTGTGTGCCTTCAAGTCATTTCTGACTTATGATGACCCTAAGGTGAACCTATGATGGAGTTTTCTTGGCATGATTTGTTCAGAGGAGGTTTACCATTGCCTTCCCCAGAGGCTGAGAGTGTGTGACTTGTCCAGAGTCACTCAGTGGGTTTCATGACTGAGCTGGGAATTGAACTCTGGTCTCCAGAGTTGCAGTTCAATGCTCAAACCACTATGTCACACTGGCTCCTACATCTAGATCTAAATAAAATAACAAATATGGTTGGAAGACACACAGTGACTGCAACACCCACTTTGGGTCACAATTGGGACAGTTTACATAGTTTCAGAAATTCACATCTCTGTCCTAATGCACAGGGAAGGAGAGAGACAGAAGTTCAAGCATCACTTTAATTCGTGTAACTTGAAAGTAAGAATGGTATGAGGATTTTAAAACAAGTGCTTTCTTTGTGAAACACCAGGATTTCAGGTAGAATCAATGTTATATACAATGACAGAATAAATCAGTGGGTGTCAACTTTGATTTAATAGCGATCCAAAGAAATAGGTTATTTTCTCTTCTTTCCCCTCCTTTCTTTCTTAAAAGTGTTAGGCTTATTGGGTTACTTAACCTTAATTCTGGGCAAAGTCAGGGGGATGAGTTACTGTTTCTTTACCATTTTCCAGCCATATTATTCCTTATCAATCTTCTGCACACTCTATGTGGCCTGTATAGTTTTGTATCTTCCTGGAAATGTCTTCCAGAAATGCCTTTTCCTCTTGTGACATAAGACACAGCCATTTTGCTAAGAAACTTGCCTTTTGGACCACAAATCTCCAGAGAGCAGAGTTTGCAGATCTGAATGCTTAATTTTATGCTTCTCTCAATGGGGAAGGCATTCAAAAATATTGGGTCTGGGGGGCTTAACTTGGGAGGGAGGTCATACTAGGAGATCTTGTAGCATGCAGTCTTACTGTCAGCTCAATATCATACCATATCTTGAGAACAAGAGCATTTCACTACTTTTTATTAATACCACATGGCAAACAATGCATACCATGATACTATCTCCCCTAGTTATAAACTGAGTGCATTCTCATCGCTACTCTCATTTACTTTTCTAGCGGAGATGTAAATCCTCACTTGTCTCATTGCCACACATGAGTAGGGATGTAATTCTAAATCAAGCTCTCTCTGCACTGGCCAAATGAAATGTCCTCCTTGCATCTTCTCAGCTGGGAGTCCAGACAATGCACAACCCAAATCCCAGTTCCAGTGCAAACACTCCAGACGACACTCCGGCAGGCCTTTCCTGAGTAGATAGTCAGCCTCCGAAAATAGTTATGCCTGTCCCTGATTTCCGCTACCGCTATTTTAATTTATTTGTCATTTATTGTAATTTATTGTCGTTTGTTA